ATCCCTAGTTAGGACATAGACTATAAAAACTCAACATCCTTCCCCCACTGTACTAAAAACAACAACTTTGGCTTTCGATACATTCTAAAACAGAGCTACAAAAAAGTTAGTCTTAAGTGTTTATGCTTTCTCCTAGAATTGTTTTTTCTTTGGTGGACATGGTTTGCGTTGCACTGTACATACTAGACTAGTGCAGTACAGTATTACTTCTAAAACGAATTATGCAAGTAGGTGGTCTGTGCTCCCTGCCTATCTCAAAGCCTCATTTTCTGATATTGACTGGGGTGTACCTTGGAGGATAGCTGTGCATATTGTTAAAAGAAAACATATTTGGTTGATCCTGTCACACAGGATATAACTTTATAGAAAACTAGTCACAATTTGCAGGGCTCTCCAATCACTTTTTTTCATTTGATCCTATAAAAGGCTCGAGTTGCGCTCAAGTGAAGTAGAAAGATCAAAAGGTATTGCATAATCGAACAATTACAACATTTATAATGTGAGTGGATCACGGAACTCCGCTCCCCTGTTATTCTTTTTTGCATATTATCATAACTGTATTGCGGTATACAGGACTAGACAGGCATCGATTGTAAAGCTGACCATTCATGTGGCAACTTTGAGTCAACTTCAACCATTTTTGTGCCACTGGGAATAGCAAACACAATCACAATTTAATGCCAGAAACAAAGTAATTGGTCGCAAGAATTGTGTTGATTGAGAATTCAAAACTGAAAACTATTGGCATATTGGCTTGATATGGAATCAAACTGGGAAGACGCTACATTAGTTTTGTCGAAAATAGCCTGATCTGTCCACCCCATTCAGTCATGGCAATAATAATTCCATCACCTTTGTGGTCAATACATTTTATGCCTTCCATTGGTTTGCAATTTTGGTAAAAGGGGGATCCAAACACTCAATCACTCAATTGCCACATGTATGGCCATCTTAACACTTGCAAAATGCACTAAATCCTTCCTCGCTGGATGAACCAAATTCACTGTCTACCACAACTAACTTCTTAGGTTAAATTCTTAAATTTTTATCTGTGCTAAAGTTCAACAATAAACAAGTTGTACCTCTAAAGCTGATCTCTCAATTACATTATCTACAAATCGAGGTGGAAAATGGACACCACTGAGTCTGTGACGCATTTCTCTATGACTAAGAGCTTACACGCAAAATGCGTTATAAGCTCTGTGGTTTCCATTTTCCACTCGGTTTTATAATAAACGTCCCCTAAAGAGAAGCTACGGATCTTCATATTATATTGAATTGCTGCACTCTGCAGGTATGCCTTGAGGTCTTTGCCCCACTGAGCCAATATTGGATTGCTGTGCATTGCAATCACACTTTCATTTGCAAACAAAACAATACAGCTTGAAAATCACAACTCCACTTCAATGAGCTACTTTAAGGCAAGGAGATGAAATCTTCAGTGTTGTAAACAGGAGATTAGCTTTCTTGTTCCCTGATACTGATTCTAACATTCATAATATTTGCTCTGGCAAAATACATTTGTCAAATTCTATCTAAGCTGGCCCCAAATGTTTTCTAATGTAACAAAAGCGCTGGCACTTAATGGCCCCATCCTATCTCAGTGCTTAGTCCCACCTACTTTCATTCACATTCCAAATACCAGATTTAAATTTAAAGTATGGCATTTGAGAGTTAAATGCCAGGAAAATGCTTACAAGGGGCAGGGCTTGAGTTAAAAGTTGAATCTCCATATACTGCCTGGATCTTCCACCCAAGGAGTGTCATTTGACAGTCAAATGCTAGGGGCATGGCTTGGTGCTTAGAGGGTGCCCAGATTCACATTGGCTTGGGGCAGAAGTCATGGTCCACATAGACCTAAGGATTGATGTGAAAACTAACACATGTGCTTACAGACACCACAAAATGGCCAAAGTTAATACTTTAGTAGGTCAGGTGCACTTAAATGTTTGCTAGCACATCCACCATCTTTCCCGATAGTCTTTGCCCCAGCTGAGCTTACATTCTAATTTTAGCATCAGAGACACAAGGCTGAAGTACAGGTTATGTAATACCCAACTCCAGTCCAATGTTTGGAGAGAGTGCAGAACAGGTATAATATTTGCAAGGTTTATTTTTTATGTATGTATGTCCTTATTTGCTGTATGTGTCCCCATTGGAGATTATTTCTGACTTTCTGTCCCTATGTCACAAAGACAGGGTTTAATGGGAAGTTTCTCTAGCTGAAGTCATGGGAGGTCTCTCCAGCTGAAACCCAATTTTTTTTGCCCTCACTTTCTCTCCCAGTGACACCACGTGTCAGAATGTGACAAGACATCTTCTCAATGAGGACACAGCAGTAAAACCTGAAAGAAAATGTTACCCTTTCCTTCTTTATCCAAACCATGGCTGATGTTGCGATTTAAACTTCCAGAATGTTTTTGGAATAACAGATGAAAGGAAACCAGATTATAAACATTTCATGTTCTTGGTGGGAGTCTGACTCATAATTATTGTGTCACAATTCGCCAACGTATGTTGCCAAAGACCATGCTGTCCTTTGGAAAGTGTTTACATTTTTCTCATCATTGTCTTCAATTGCCTTCAGCAAGAAGGGTAGATGTTCCAGCACTCTGCCTGTATGAAGAGAGAAGGTGATCAATCTTTGCCATTGCTTATAACGAATGATCACTCAGCACATTGTACTTGAATAAAATACATGATCTTGTTGGCTTTTGTGTGCACAAAGATGAGCTAGAAGAGTAACGATGAAACCTGTCCCCCCATGGCAAGCGTGCTGTGACGAGGGAGACCCTCTGGTGTCTGTGAGATTTATGGCATGTTGCATTAATGTATTAATCTGCAGAGGTCTAGAGGAGAGATGAGGTGTTTGGGTTAGTCATCGTGCCATGTATAATCATGAACACCGCAACATAGGCTGTCCAGACTCTGTGCTGTCTGCCCATTGCATCACAATGTCTGCTGTTGTTGTGTTCATCATCTGACAAATCATTAGTATGTAGGCCTATTTTCAGCTCACAGCTTGGCAGCTTTTATAGATTAAAAGAAATAGCAGATTTTTATATTTTTTTTACATTGCATACAACAATCTAAAAGAAAACATACTTCATTCTACAATCAATAATTTCTACACACTTCTCTCCATTCATTCATTCTTATCTTTTTCGGTTTTCTCATTTCCTCACCTCTCCCTTTTCTTTTCCTTTCCTCCCTTTCTTCCTTCCTCCTATTTCTCTCCTCTTCTATCTCTCCCTCCCTCTTTTTCCATTCCCTTCTTTCTCTATTCTCTCGTTTCTGTTTCTGACCTATCTCTCTCTCTCTCTCTCTCTCTCTCTCTCTCTCTCTCTCTCTGTATGAATATATATATATATATATATATACACTATATTGCCAAAAGTATTGGGCCACCCCTCTGAAACATTGGATACAGGTGTTCCAATCACCTCCATGGCCACAGGTGTATAAAATCACGCATCTAGGCATGCAGACGCTTCTACAAACATTTGTGAAAGAATGGGTCGCTCTCAGGAGCTCAGGGACTACAAGCGTGGTACCGTGACAGGTTGCCACCTGTGCAATAAGTCCATCCGTGACATTTCCTTGCTACTAAATATTCCGCTGTCACCTGTTAGTGGTATTATAACAAAGTGGAATCAACTGGGAATAACAGCAACTCAGCCACGAAGTGGTAGGTCACGTAAAATGACAGAGCGGGGGTCAGAAATGTCATTCTTCTAGGAAGACTTTCCCCAAAATGTTGGGTGTGTCTGGAAATTTGTGTCCATCCAGTCGAAAGAACAATTTTTGGCGTACATTGCCTGTGGTGTGGTCTACACACTGCACTAGTCTACCACAGCATTGCCTGTAAAACCAAAGGTTAGACCAGGTGTGCCATATAGCAAGGCCTAATCTTCTGATTTTTTACTAGAGTGTATCTTTTAAGAATAACTGCATGTTCTAAAACAAATTTGTTTGATCATGTCACACAGGTTAAAATGTTTTTGAAAAGGTTGAAAATTGTCTGACCTCTCCATTCACTTCTTTGTTTTCATTCAATCCAAAAGGTGCTTGGTAAGGAAGGTTTGAACACAGTAGAAATATCAAGTGTTGCATGATCCAAGAACTAGACAAAATGTGTGTGCCGCAACACTCCCCACTCCTGTTTTTTTTGCATATCATCAAACTAATAGTATGAAGGGATACATTACCTTCTTTCTTTCTCATTATATTATGTAAAAAAATGAAAATTGGTTACAATTTGTGAGGTCAGATACTGATGTTGGATGAGAAGACCTGACTCTACAATCCGTATTCCAATTCATCCCAAATGTGTCCAGTAGGGTTGAGGTTACGGTTCTGTGAGGGCCATTCCAGTTCCTCCATACCGAACTTATCAAACCATGTCTTTTATTGGAGCTGGCTTTGTACACATTGGCCACAGTCGTGCTGGAACAGAAAATGGCCTTCACTAAACTGATGCCACAAGGCTTAGAAGAGTTCAGTTGTCTTTGTATGCTGTACCATTAACTGTACCCTTCACTAGAAACATCTAAACTCAGTTATTTGGATGGGTGTCCACATACTTTTGGTCATATAGGTAGGTGTGACTGTCCGGAATCCACAAACATTTGGTCACAATGTACTTTATATAGACAATCCTGTATTTCAGATGATTGTAGTAGATGGCATTTTCATTCATGTTGGCCTCTGCAACCGGACCTGCTGTTCTGCATTGACAGTAAGCCCCCATTCACACCTATGCGTATTGTAATATGCGCGTCTGTCGCACGTTTTTTTTACCGCGATTCGCGGTAAAAAAGTTGCGCGACCGTCGCGCGATTCCAAAGCCTACTTGGCAGTATACAAATGGAAAACGCCCTACAAAACGGACCAATACGCAGCAAAAAACGCTCCGGGACATTTTCATGCGTGGGCCGTTTTGTAGTGCGTTCGGGACGGGCGGAAATACGGACAGGTGGGAACGATACCATTGACTACAATGCTATTTATTTTTTTGACCGTTTTGTAGAGCGTTCATCGAGCGTAGGACGCGCTACAAAACGGTCAGGTGTGAATGGGGCCTAATAATACTGGCTCAGTAAATGATAGGTGACCTGGCTTGTGTGCTTTTACTATATTTCCATTTTTGTAGCTGATATATATATGAAGCTTTCTTAAATCTATCTGGACAACCTGTTTCACATTGGATTACTGCACAGATCTGGAAAAGAAAACACCAAGCTCACCAAGGTTCAAGGGAAAATACACATGAATCTTGTATTGAGAGAATATCTGCTTTTCCCGAGTTCAGCTTTAATGGTTCAGTGTGCTCTGTGAAGAGGAATGCATCTGCAGTTCATACATTTATTTGCATTAGTGTATGTAGAGTACAGTGACAATGTAGGTATTTGTACATGTGACTTCTGTGTTTCAACAAACAATTGTTATTCTGTGTCTTGTAATTCACATGCATTAAAGCTTTCCTCTTTTCAGGGTTCCCTTGATAACGACACAGTGATACATGTGGCCTTGATTGCAGAGAGCCAGAGGTAAGATAATAAAAGCCTTCTGTGTACAGGAAATAAATTCAGAACCAACAAGGCTTTTTAAGATCGCCCGTAAATAATTATTTCCGAGCGGGAACTCATTTTTCCATTGACAGAATAAATTCAATGAATGATGAGTGACTGCGTGTTAGGATTGTATGCCGGGCTGCAGAACGAGATAATCCAGTGACTTTAAAGCAGCTAAGACCACGATGAATCAAGATATCAATAAAAGACAGCTATTTTATAATCAATTTTAATTAATTTAGAATTAATTTCGCTGATCAATGGCATCTACACGCAGCCATGGTATTGCATATATAACTTCTCTTTAGGGAAAACCTAAAGAGAAAATGAGAATCATGTAGTCACAGCATAGCATTTGAAGCATGCAAACAGGATCGAGAAGTACAGTTATCAATCGGCAAAAAATTAAAGCAGACTGTGTATCAAAATGTAAGGATCACCTATTAGTTAGTCTTCCAGTCTTGATAAAAAAACGTTAAAGCAAAAAAAATAAAAATTTGTGCGTGCATGCGTTGCTTGTGTTGTAGGTGAGGGTGAACATCCCTGGGCTTTCTCTCAGTATCTTGGGTAAGCTGAGGATCCCACATCCCTCAAGACTGCACCCCTGTTTAGAATTCACCTATAGCCCTTTAATAAAGTATAGGTGTATTCCAGAAATCTTTGGACTTCATAATGATTTATGGAAGAAGAATTGGTGCATTAATACCAAGGTAAAAAAAAGGTCAGTGGTAGGGATGCACCAATACCAAGTATGCTCCAATACCTTCCCCGATACCAGAACTTCCGATCAGAGGAAGGGGAACACGGAGCCAGCTTCCAGTGCAATCAGGAAGCTGGGCGGCGAGTTATGATCCACCTCCCGGCTCCATGCTGATTGGCCAGAAAGCTGGCTTGTGTATTCATAATGAAAACATTGAGCATTGATATGCATTCAACTAGAGGAACCAATCAAAAATGAGCTCTCCAGCAATGTTGAGTATGCATGCGATAGCTGATAGGTTGATATGGGTTCTGGTCTGCTGTAACATAAATTATTGTTTTAGGATAATGGATGTCACTGTAATTGACACTTTGTTGTGCACGGTCTAGACTGCAGGTCTTCCTGAACACATACGGTATTCAGACACAGACGCCGCAGCAAGTGGAACCTATCCAGATCTGGCCACAGCAGGAGCTGGTAAAGGTGAGTGACAGCACACTGGCTGACTGCACTAAGCATCATACCTTTTCTCACTGTTCTGTTCAGTTTTTTGCTGCTCCATCTACAGGTCTCCATCTACATGGAGTTTTTATGTTCTTCCTTTGTGTGTGTTTGCTGTAGGTTCTTGTTTTCTTCTGCTATCCATATACATGGTGGTAGATCAATTGGTTTCCACCCAAAATAATTGAACTGTGTGTGGGTAACTGGTGGGGACTAAATACCTTATGGACTAATGTTGACTGTTCAGTGTTTTTTATCTTTGTTTTTTTTGGTAAAGGGGGCTGCAGAATAGGTTGGTGCCATATAAATGAGTAAAAAAAAATGCATCATTATTGTATTTGGTTTATGAGGGTTATCGGTATGGGACACCAAAATGCGTACATGGACACTAAAGCGTTTCATTGTGCACCTAGAATTAGATTTCAGCGTCACATAACACTGTATATGGACAATATGTGGACAACTAACCATCGTAAAAATATGAACTAGTTGCACATCCCATTTCAGAACAGTGGGCATTATTGAGTTCTTTGCAGTTATAACAGCCTCCACTCTTTTGGAAAGGCTTTCCACAGGATTTTAGGGTGTGTCTGGGAATTTGTTAGGTCAGGAGCTGACATTGGACAAGAAGATCTGGCTCACAATCGGAGTTCCAGCTCATCCTGAAGGTGTTCAGGGAGGTTGAGGTCAGGGTTCTGTGTTACGTTCCTCCTCATCAATTCATGTTTTTACGGAGATGGCTTTGTGAACAGGGGTACAGTCATGCGGGAACAGAAAACCACCTTCTCCGAACTGTTCCAACAAAGTTGCAAATGCACAATTGTCTAAAATGTCTTTATATTCTGTGTCATTAACTTTACCCTTCACTGGATACACCTGAATTAAATAATTCTCATGCTTTGGTCAATGGTAGGTGCAATGGTCAGGGGTCCACAAAAGTTTGGCTATTTAGCTTGCGTCCAGCCGGACTAGTAGCAGAGTCCTAATTCAATTAGAAGGTGAGTCCATATTCTGAAGCACAAGTGTTAAAAGGGTGAAATTAGTTCTCAAGCTAAAGTCTTATTGAGTCTATTAGCTATGAATCAAACATAAAGCTTAGTGTGGGAGTAGAGCCTATGTAGGCCCGGGCTTCCCTGCCAGAGAGGATCTGGGTAAATGTCAGTATTTATCCTTGATTATGACTCAAGGGAGACTGTGGAATAATTAATACAAGCCTTGCCAGTCACAGCTCAGCCTCCTGCCAACCGCCAAGATTGTCAGTCCCTCTGTCTCTGCAGACCCAGATACAGGTTTGCCGAGCCAGGCAAGCTGTCTGCCTAAAATAATGCAACGCGCAGGCTGGAGAGTACGCATTCACCTTTGTACATCGAAACATAAAAATTACCAGACACATAACATTCCCTGATGTATTTCCATTCAGATATTTGCTTACCGTTGCATATTTGTAAATGAATACTATGCTGGCAGAATTACAATTTATATTGATTCAGCTGTTCTGTGAGCAGAATGTAAAAACAAAATGACAAAGGCTTTTAGGATTTCCTGTTGGCAAACTTTCATTCTTGAGGCTGCGATGAGCCGCCCTGTAATGAATGATGTGCCCACTGTCATAATTTTATGTTGTCTGTGTTCCTTCCCTTCCTGTCCCAGAAACAGTACAGGAAGTGAGAGCAAATCTCTCCAAAGCAAAGGGAAATCCCCTCTTATTGGCAGGAACTGGTTTCCCAATTGGTTCAGCTCTCCTCTTTTCCTGTCCTGGTGACAACTTCGACATTTTGGACTTCTCATCACTTTAAGTTCTGGGGACAAAGGTTATCGGGTCGAAAAGAGAAAGTGGCCATTTCAACACAGACTGCATAGGCGTAGTCCGCATTTGTTTTGGCACTCTGGTTCAACTGTACAAAGACTCCTTGGTATGGGTGACCCATTAGACCCTTTGCTCAGTTAGGGACATCTTTCTTACTGATTGATGATCCATATCCAGCACCTCACTCCTGCTTCTCGTTACATAGGTTGAATTTCCCCACCGGGGACATAGACAACAAAAAGAAAAACTGAACAGATTACTTGCTCTATCGAAGGCTAAAAGAAAAGATTTGTTTTTTAGGTACGCTATCAATATGGGAGCTGTCATTGCTAACATGGCGCCCGGGAGCCGGCACCTTTAAAAAAATAGATCCACACTGGCAGTGTCTGTATTTCTATCCCTACAGGTTCCCTTCAAGAGGAATCATTTGTATAGGGACAATGCGGTGTCAGCTTTTGGTTTTCATGTTATAATCATAGGCTCCTTCTGATGACAGGTTTGCTTTAATCACACAGCACTTGTGTCTGAGCTGCCATAAAATACCGTCCGTTAGTGAATTCACTGACAGTCTTATGATGTAACACTTTGATCTCTCGGTAAAGAAAGATTAGAGCTGCAGCAATACTCACCTATTCTGCTCCAGTGTTACCCTCAGAGGAGTCACGTTAGTCATTTCAGTGGTGGGATAGTATTTTGAAAAAGTGATATTAAACTCTCAGGATTTTTTTCAATAAGAATCCAGATCAAACACATATACATTGCCCAGCAAAGTGCAGCGGTACCTCGGTTCACGAACTTAATTTGTATCACGATTCTGGTCGCGAACCGAATTGGTCGCGAACTGAATCAAATTTCCCCATGGGGTTCAATGTAAATAAGGTTAATCCATTCTGACCCCTAAGAATGTGGTCGGGAAACGATTTTAGTCGAAAACAGAATCATATTTTAACATAAGGTTCAATATAAATGAAGTTAATCCGTTCTGAACCATATGTAAAAAAAAATTTAACCACCAAAATATGAAACAAAGTACAGTACAGTATGAAGAGAGTGAACACTAACCGCTCTGCACATTCTTGTCACCTTCATTACCATTATGCACAATCTTTTTACCACCGTGCATGCTCTGTACTTTCTGGTTACCTTTAGTACCACTCTGCACGTTATTGTCACCTTTTTTACCGCTCCGTAATGTTTTTGCATATATCTTGCTAGCAGTAGATACATGCAAAAACTCCTAGGGTTTAACATTTTTACAAAAAAAAAAAAACTTACATAGGTTACACAAAAAAAGAACACAAACATCCACCTGGAACAACTTTCTGGTTCTCACATTTCATTATATTGAGTACAATTATATAAATGTGGTCAGAGGTGACATGCAATATAGCTTTCATTCTCATTTCATGGTTCCATTCATATTCGGTCTCCCCTCCCAAAGAACAGTTTGGGTCAGCCAGATATTGGTAATACGTAAGAGGTCTCAGCATATCAGTACAACAAAAATAAGTAAAAGGAATAAAGGTGCATGTGGGGTGACAATGGTCATCAGGACACCTGGAGGGGGGGAATTTCCCTATTCCTGTTCTGGTGGCGAGATTTGGATTTACCCTCACTTTCATTCCTGGTGAAAGTGATGATCAGAACAGTTAGAGTGATTCTCCATTACCAGCACACAGACAGCAATAAAAAACGGACGGGTTCTAACATCTGACCACTCTGCAAAACTAAAAACTAATCTAAAAAGTTTGAGATTCACTGATGGTCATTTCTCAAAGTGTATCTAATTACACTTTGAGAAATGACCATCAGTGAATATAATAAATTCATTGGCTCTTCAAAGTCTGCTAGTAGAGTAGGTGGTTGACGTGTTGGCATGCAATGACTTGGATGTTGGCTGTGATCTGAAGCCAACATAGACATTTGGGCAAGAGATTATCACGGAAGCAATTAAACTTCGGAGAGCCAAAGCTGACAACAAGATCGACATATATTCTCTGCCCCCCTACTGCCACGGACCCTCTGGTAGCGGAATCTCAGACAGATGATGTCCCCACTTTGTGGTGGCTTGCAGCCTGTTTCCAGGGTGTTGGCAGAAGATTAGCTGGGAAGTCAAGGAAGAGCAAAGTCCTGGACTCGGAATTATCTGCCCGCTGCAGAATCTTCCTCCTTCAGTGAAATGATTCGGACATCATTGAGTTTGTTGTTCTATCTAGTTGCTGTTTTCTTGGTGCCGACATCTCACCAACACCATGGCTTGGCTCAGTGCGTTGTTTTTCATTTTCGTTATTTTTCCTTTAATCCGTTCCAACACCGAGGTATGGCAGGCGTGTGTTTTATGCTGGAACGTTTCTCAAACTGTCAACTGGAAATCTGTGTATCATGCTGAATGAATGGGACAGTTCAACCATTAAGGATACGGTGATGTGGGCCAAATGGAGGCAAAAAGGCCTCCAATAACACACTGCGATGTACAGCGTGTAAGTATTTATTATCTTACACATTTTATCATAGTGCCAACAACGAGGCTTCGGTTCCCAGTAAAAAGTCTGACCCGTGCTAATTATTTCTTTATGGTTTCGTGGTCAGTTGTGGTTCCAGAAATGCTGGTTTAAAGCACGGGTGTCTAGTCAGAAAGGGATTTTGTTTTATTTTTGCTTAAAGAAGAACTCCAGGAATTAGCAAAGTTAACCCCTGCAGTGGCGCTACCCCCCTCCCCCCCTCACACACTAGAAGGGTTAACTGCTTGTTTTTCTCTAGGGGTCGGAATACAGAAGAAACGCTCAGTTGATCTTTGGTCATGCAGCGGTCAGCACTCACCTCTGTCCTCCTCCACTCTGGCTCTGGTATGTCACTCTGCGTCCTCACGTTCAATGCAAGTCAATGGACCAGCATTATTGTGATGACATCAGCAGGCTTAAACTACCAGAGCCCGGGGGAGAAGAGGCTGAGGGGACCCGTCTATCAGCAAGGTGGGTTCGGGGATCAGGTAGCTATTATCTTCTTTAATCCAGACCCTAGACCTAAATGCGCAGTTAACTCTTGCAGTGTAGGGGGTAGCCCTACTGCAAGGGTTAACTTTGTTAATTCCTAGAGATCTTTTTTCAAGCTGTGCTAAAGACTTGGATTCCCCCTACACACATTTTCTCACCCCCTCTAATTCTATTACGTCAGG